GCTGGATTATGGAGAAAGCCAGAGAGTTCCAGAAAAATATCTACTTCTGCTTCATTGACTATGCAAAAGCCTTTGACTGTGTGGACCACAGCAAACTATGGCAAGTCCTTAAAGAAATGGGAGTGCCTGACCACCTTATCCATCTCCTGAGAAACCTATATGTGGGACAGGAAGCAACAGTTAGAACTGGTCGGGAGGCAGTAGAAGACAGAAGGGCCTGGCGTGCTCTGGTCCATGGGGTCACGAAGAGTCGGACACGACTAAACGACTAAACACGTATTTTGCAGAGACAAATATATATACTGAATCAAAGTTATTCAAATAAAATACAAATGTAATAAATACAAATACAGATTCTTAACTATCACACTCCCTACAATATCTATGGCAAGGTTCAGCCTTCCTCTCAAAACACCACGTGAGTCAGTCTTAAAGCAAGCCATGGGTCAACATAAAGCCTTGGGGCTGAGAGATTTTGCACTTGTAAGCCAATATGGGAGCTGTAAACAAAGCACGTTCGTTTTTTACGTTATAGTGCTTGCCCAGATGTATTGCTGCCATGAGAACTTTTCATAGTGCAACCAGCTGCTGTCCACCTGTTGTCGGAACACTGTGCCCCAACCTACAATGTTTTGCTGTTTAACTGGTAGTTATTGAGACTTGCATTTTCCTGATGGTTCGTAGAAGCAACTTGAGTCCCATTTGTCTGTGATTGTGTTATGGCTTATCTGCATATACAACTTTTAAATTATATTGGGAGGGACCACAGCTCAGGGGTAGAAAATAATCTTTGCATGTGGAACATTCCGGATTGATTCCCCAGCATTGCTAATGAAGGCTGAAATGGTGCCTACAAACACAGAGATGCTCCCAGCCGGAGTTGTCAACACTGTTGTCTATGGATCAATGGTCTGATATGATAGAAGGCACATTCCTCTATACCTAAAATGAATCAGTACCTGTATGTTGTTATAGCTAACAGTTGATTGAGGCCCTAGGGAATTATTCCATAAATTTTTATCAAAATAATATTACTGAATATGTTCAGGAGCATATGAGTTGCAGAGCACAGACTACAGCAGATGAAAATGCAGCCCATGTAAGGCTCGACACACCTACTTTAATTTAATATAAATGGGTTATGCAGGTTTTACCAGTATTTTTATAGACAAATTTGCTTAACATTTATTGCCTTGGAATAATTACTCTTAGAGTAAATGAGCAATTTTTAAACTATGTTCCTTGAAGCATTTTCCTCTTCTGTTCTACTAACAAAGATTCCTTATGCAATTGTATTTAAACATGCTTTATATACATAACCTTGACATCTGAGGATGTGGAAAAAAAAGAAGTAACTGTTATCCTTAAAAGACATGTCTCCTGACCCTAAAGAAGTCTGCTGGAAGTCTTGATAAGTGGGTCTCAGTGATAAGTCAAAAATTATAAAACAACTCCTTAAATATCCACCAAATGCACACATTGACAATTTGCTGTTAAACCTCACCATGAATGAACCTTTTTGATATAGCCTGTATGTGTCAACCAAAGAGAGACTGCCCTTTTATAAGGACATTTTTCTTCATGTTTTTGAAATTTGCCTCAGACCTTTCCCTTTTCAATTTCTTGGTTTACATGCTCTTTATAAAGAATTGACATCTTTTAATAAGTAAGATCCTACATTTTTATATAGAATTCCATTCAGATTAAAACACATGTACTTGATTTACGTATAGAAATACTTTTCATTAAGAAAATATTGAAGCTGACAGTATTTACAACTAGGACTGCAATTTTAGGTGAATGTACATGAAAGTAAGTTCCCCTGAAAGCAATAAGAGATAATAAAGATGATGAGGTATGATAATTACATACAGTATGCATCTCCTTTTTTGAGCCATCGTGGGTGTTAAAATCATCAGGGGAGAGAGTAAGTTCCCCTGAAAGCAATAAGAGATAGTTACGAGGAAATATAATAAAGATGATGAGGTATGATAATTATATATGTATCTCCTTTTTGAGCCATCGTGGGTGTTAAAATCGTCAGGGGAGAGCATTCTCTCAGTCCCACCGCCTTCATAGGTGCATTCACTGGGGACATGGAAGAGGGCCTTCTCTGTTACTACTCCCATACTCTGGAACTCCTTCCCACAAGAGGCTAGTCTGACCACATCTTTGCTGTCCTCTTCAGACAGGCTTTTTCATTGTGATTGGCTGTCTGAGGCTTTTTTTAAATGGGGTGTTGTGCCCTTGTTGCTTTTAATCTGTTTTTGGTGTTGATTTTGTTTCCCATTTTTAATATGGTATTTGTTTGATTCTTTTAAAATTTTTGTATATTTACTGTTTTTAGCTTTTAAATATTGACTTTTAATGATATAAGCTACCCTGAGTCCTTGTTAAGGAGAAAGGTGGGATAAAAATATTTTAAATAAATAAATACTAATCAGATTGAACAGTGCGGAATGGATTTCTTTTTTTTTCACACTGGTCAGACAATTCTGTCCCCTTTCCCTCCCTCCTTATTGTTCCTAGACAAGTAAAAATTCACTGGATGAGTGTGCTTTTGTGCACCTGTGATATATATGTAAACTGTTTCATATGTGGTACTTTTCTACAAAGAAATCGCTTTGGTGTACACAAACTAGATCTCAACCTGGTGTGTGAGTTGCGATATGTCTATTTAAGTAGACACATCAAAATACTAGTTAATTAGGACTTCCCAGCATATATATAGGCCACAAAGACAGGTATACTTGAGAGCGTTCATGTACTTTCATCGTGGTTGGGTTGTTTAAACTCGAAATGATACCAGTATAAGACGTTGATGCCCTTGCAGTAACCCCAAGTGACTTAAGTCAGTTCAGGACTTGGGATATGCAAGGATAACCATATATCTTTAAATAGGACTGGACTATCCTCAAGGTAGTGGCAAGTTCATGTAGGGTGGGTCACAATCAGAAAAACTTTGAACATAAATTACAAGTAAATAAGGGCGATTTCTAGAAATGTGGGCGTTTTTTTCCTTCTTTTCCTTTTTTTCAAAAAAAGTTATCTCTGCATATTAAACCTTCTGCTGCTATCAGGAGTCCCCAGCTGGAGTCTTTCAGGGCATCTGGAATTATTGTTTATCAGGGGGAAAACTGCTAAAATGTTTTAAGGGTGGCCTTACTTGTCCTTTATGTCCTGAACCTGGCTGTCTGGGTAATCATTGAGAATGTGAGTGCTATGTGTATTTTCAGAACCAAACAGTGGCCCAAATATAGAAACCATGGTTGTAGAAGATAACAGCCAAAAAATAAAACCTGACCCAAAATATCAGCTATTGGTGGATAGTGATTAGAATTCACCCTGACTGAACTCAGTAACAGCTTGTAGGTTAGTCGGGGACAACACAGTCTAATCCTTTAAAATCCTTATTAGTTTGTCTTATGCCAGTAGTAGTACAGTACATTAGGGGGATATTTGAGGAAAATTATTTATTTTCTATCCTCTTGCAGTCGTTTCCAGTCATACGTGTCTCATGCGTATGTGCATAAGAAATGTACATATAACATTGTATCTTATTTTATGTAAGAATATAGGATGCTTATTACATAGAGGCAGGTGCTGACTCCTGTTGCTTAGTTTAATTTTGCTATTGTTGTTGTTTGTTGCCAAGTTTGCCTCCAACTTAAGGCCATCCTAGGGAATTAGTGACCATTCAAAAGTCGTATGATTAACAGCTCTGTTCAAGTCTTGGAAATTCAAGAACATGACTACTTTTATTTAGTCAATCCAGCTCATATCCAGACTTCAATTTTTCCTATTGTCTTCTGTTTTTCCCCAGCATTAGTTTAGCTTGCAGTATAATGGATTTCGGGGAGAAAACAAAAGAGCCACAAAAGAGCCTCATAGCTGCTCTTCTGAGTCTTCGCCTTCTTCCGGCCTTTTGACTGCAATCTGCATTTGGATCAATGATTGAATGACAGGATGGAAAATAATTAACCGTTTAGATTTTTAATTTGTTTTCATCATTGGCATTCAAATTGTAAACATAGACATAAATGCAATACCTGTTAATCCACTGAAAACAGATAAAGGTTCAAGCCAATAAGTTCAAATCTTAAATTCTATGGAATCTTCTGGAAATCAGATTTGAAATGCAAAGTTAGGCATGTATAATATAATCTGCATGTGACATAAACAAAGGGGAAAATAATTAAAAAGGCAAAAAAGTGTGATGGCGTTTTGATCATTGTTCAGACATGAAAGACAGCAGGTCAGTATGAGTGGCTACCTAGTGAGTTGTTTCTCATGCCACATTTAGATAAAACAAATTTTTCATGCTTCTGAGAGGTTTTAGATTGTGGATTAATATAAAGTAACTAAATGTGGGCAGTGGAGCAATTAAGGCTGCTGCATTTCTGTTCATCTATGATAATCTAATAGCTTTCTCTGAAAGCGGTATGCCTAATCAAATTAGTTCATATTAGATTTCAGGACTAGGAAATGTGTGTTTGCAGACTTCAAGAAATACACGATTCTTGAAAGAAACAAAATAATAGACATGAGAAGATGCCTTGGCTATTCTCTTCACACTGCTCCATAGACTGGTTGAGACAGTTCAATAAGTCACAAAAATATTAGACAACACTGTTTTGAAATTATAATCTTGAATAAAGTTGGTAGGAAATTGCTGTTGACCCCAGCTGGACCAAGAATACATCTTGTGCATTTTTCTAAGATCAGCTCTACATAGACATTCTGATAATCAGGATGGAAATAAAGGTCAAACCAAGCTGGAAAAGAAATGGTGCACATAAGAAAAATTGCAAGCTGGGTCCCAACAAAAAACGAAACAATAAAACCACCCACACACTCACCCAACTAGGGCTGAACTTAAAAAGACAGTTCAGATTAACATGGCAGCTTATTTATACTTACTTCAGTCAAAAGGCCTGATTTCTCACTTGTAATGTTTCTCTATGGGGAATAAGTTCTAACATGATTGTTTTTATTTCTAGTGCTGAAAGGTGGCCCAGTTGATGGAATCTACAGACTACGCCAGTTCCACATTCATTGGGGATCCTGTGAAGGCCAAGGTTCTGAACATGCTGTGGATGGAGTGAGATATGATGCAGAGGTAAGACCAATATTTTCCTCTTTCCAGGCTTTCCTACTGGGTATATCTATGTTAGATATTCTGAAAGGTTCTGAAACTGGATGTAAAGCAGGTTATGGAAATGGACTGATAACCAATACATATAAGAAGCATTTACTGGATGCTTTACTGGGATGGCGGCAATGGGCAAATAGATAGTCAGATGCTTTTCTCTCTGTTGGCCTATTGTTAACATTTAGTATATGAATTACTAACCTTTTTTAAACTGAATTTCCTTTTGGTATTTCTGTTATTTCCAGCTGCATTTGGTTCACTGGAACACAAAATATGGCAGTTTTGAAGAAGCTGTGAAGCATCCTGATGGACTGGCCGTTGTGGGTGTGTTTTGGAAGGTCAGTGCACTTATATCCTGTTTTGCCATCTTTGATGGCATTGTAGAATATTTTTTTTGTCCTGAAGGGTTTATTCTGCTAGAAGGTGAGTTGTTTAAGGCACCCTTTGCGATTCTGGGTTCATGAGGACTTCTTAGGAGAACTGAATAAGTCAAGGTGTGAGTGTGCGTGTGTATGTGCATGTGTGTGTCTTTAAATCACAGAACTGTAAAGTTGGAAGGATTCCCAGATCCACGTAGACCAGCCTCCTGCAGTAGCCAGTAGTATTGTCTATTAGCAAATATCACAGATCAAGGAACCCAACCCATATGTAGATAAGGTGTATCACAGAAAGGTGTTTGCAGAGTAAATGCATCTAAATGACTCATGCTAGTGATATAGGAGAGTAAAACAGCTTCATTTTTTAACAATAAACTTTCATGGCTACAAAGGGCTGAGGCCCTGGTTTAAGCACACAGAACAGCTTTTTGCATATTCATTTTTAGCCATATTAACAAGATTGAAAAAATGCATGTTATGCACCGCTGAGGCCCTGGTTTAAGCACACAGAACAACTTTTTGCATATTCATATTTTCGCCATATTAACAAGATTGAAAAATGCATGTTATGCACCCACACACACGTGCGCGCGCACACACATACACACAGAGTAGAAGTTACGTGGAGGGCTACATGTGCTTCCTGCCTTTCCTTTTAAGATACAGAATGGTATTTAGGAAAGTTTTCATCTAATTAAAAGGATAATCAGAAAGAATACATAGCTTTACTTTTTACAGTGACGATGATGCATATTTATTGTGTTTTTCCTTTATACACTGCACATTGCGTACATGAATATGAAACACTGAATTCCGCCACTCTTCCTCTTTCCACTGAGTCCAATCCTTTTATACCACTGGATTTAATGCTTGGATGATAACTGATAAACACTCAGCTTTTAAAACGGATTAATCCTCTTATTGAATTCAGGGAAATTTCTACGAAATGTCTGAGATGTGTGTACAATATTTCTTTAGCCAATAAATGGGAGTAACCAATAAATGAAGTACACATACATGCAAACAGGCTCACACCTATTTTTCTATATGTTTTTCTAAAAATATCACAGGTAGGAAATGCTTGCTCTGGAATACAGAAAGTCGTTGATGCACTGGACTCTATTAAACACAAGGTAATGCTTTTATTACTTTATCAGCTGAGAAATACAGTGCTCTGGATTTGTGTAAAGGAATTGCTTTTAGCTTCCCACTCCATGTGTTTCAGCTAGGAAATGATTCTTGAATCATCTTCTGTTGGCAAGAAAGCTGTATTTTAACAACAGGAACGTATGATACTCCTTCCATCTGCATTTATAATTCCTTAGGGATTTGAAATATATTCTTTCTTTTGCAGGGGTGGGACTCGGATAATAAATACACCTTGCTCTTGTCTAATTAAGTTGCACAGGCTTACTTCTTCACCCGTTTTTATGAGGAGAATAAACCTGCCCTCTTTAAGAGTTTTCCTTCTTTGAAATGTTAGTCTTTCACATTTAATAGTCTTAGCTAAGAGGCAGCCAACTAATAATGACTGGCTGCGATCCCAAGTTGCCCAGGTGAGCTTGAAACATGTAGAGACGCTCAGCAGGTTGAGGCAAGAAAAAGAGAAATCTGCATTTTAGTCCGCAGCTTTTATATGTGGCAGGAATGTGTTTCAAGTCCTTATGCCATCTCTAATAGCTCTATATCTTTTTACAGAGCTTGAGAAATCGCCTTTTTTGAAATAGCGTTCCCAGAAACATTGCTCCCTGGTGACACTCTGGTTGGACAATTCTGGGAGTTACAGTGCCCCAAAGCAACTTTCCCAAGCTAATTTTTTAAAATTAAAATTTTAGGAAAGAGGTGCACACTTTACTTTTTGGCAAGCAAAATGCAACCTCCCTTATGAACTACATAATGGCTAGCAAAGTGTCTCTCTCTGTGTGTTTGTCTACATACTATACTCCTTGTACTGTAGAATGTTTTGACTGACTGCTTAACATGTTCCAGGGCAAGCAAGCTGCCTTCACAAACTTTGATCCCACTGGTGTGCTTCCTGCCTCCCGGGATTACTGGACTTATCTGGGATCACTGACCACTCCCCCCTTGCTTGAATGCGTCATCTGGATTGTTCTGAAGGAGCCTGTGACTGTCAGCAAGGAACAAGTAGGTCCATTTGCTGCAAAACAATTGCATTTATCAAGAAACAGACTAATCTTTTGGTTTGTTGGTTTCCACAGTGATAAGATGCCTACACCGGAAAGGCAGCTTACCTTAAGACAATGGATACATTCTAGCTAGGCATGTGTTAGTTAAATAACTAACAAATAAGGGCAAAACCAGACATAAAGACTCATGATTGAGGTCTCTCTTGATTTCAGTCTTCTAATTAACAGTCCCCCTTGGGGATATTCTGAAAACAAGGGAAGTGATGCCCTGGAAGATGTTGTTTGAAGTCCTTTCTTCTAGTGTCCTCTCCCTGAGCTTTCTGGCCTAAGCAAGAGTATTGCGTCCCTTACAAATAAAAGGGAGTCATTCTGTCACGTAATAAAAGCTATTCTTGCACTTGAATAGGCAATTTGGATTCTCTTGTGTCATTTCAGAGCTGCAGTATCCTCAGTTGGTTAAATGAAATGAAGGATATATCTAACCAGATTAACTCACCTTGAATGACTTGTGCATTAATTGTATCACACATTAGAGGACATTGCATGTACGTGATTGTGCAGAATAAAATTCATGCATCCTGGGATTTGGAATTAAATTTGAACATGTCCCAATATATCACAGAGAGAGAAGATCTACAGTAAATGGGCTGTTCTAGATTTCACAGTTACTGTTAGGGTATAGGAAAACGTTTCTAAAAAAATATATGTGCTTTGGATTGTGCATACAGAATATAAGCATTGCAGTAACATTTTTCTCTAACACATGAACCTGACTTACTGTTTGACACATAGAAGCAGTTATTGCCTACTCTGAAAGTAGTAGCTAAAGTTTCCTCTAAGCCACGTGCGTGACTCTGCCTCCCTCTGTACAGTTTTCTTCCTCCTCCGGTCACATTCAACCCCTTTGGTTCTGGTCATGATGGAGCCCTGCAGCGCATGGGGGGCGAAGTCGCCTGCGCATGCAGGGGTGAAGTTGCGAGAGGGAGGCAGAGCCCTGCCTAATGGGGTTGAACATTAAAGGGTATGTTGGTAGTAGCTCTTCAGCACCATAGGCGGGGTATAAATACAATGAATGAATGAATGAATGAATGAATGAATGAATGAATGAAT